AGTGTAATCCAAGTTTGGGTTTTCTTTTCTGACACCTCTCCTTCACTTTTTGTTCTGTCAGCTGTGACAATGTCACTGACAAAGCAGTTTTGGCTGTACTTTGTCATCCTTATGACAGTGTCAGTGTCATGGCTTTGTGCTGTCATAACATTCTGTAGACAGCTTCAGCTTGTTCAAGGTCCTTCCTTGTTCTATCCTTTTGTCACCTAAATACTCCTGAAGACCTGCACTGTCTTAGCTCCTTAACTGACACTGTCTTTGCTTTAGTAGCATCTTGGCTTCTTTGTGTATAAATCTACAATGTTGTGAGGATTATGACACAWAGTAAATAACAAGAGTAAATTCTGYTGTTGGATCMTTTGCTTTTACCAGTGACTGGACTTGAAGCTGGCTGGGACTGTGGGGGACAGTAAAAAGAGTTTTTTCAAATATGTTAATAGCAATAGGCAGTGTAAAAATAAYRTCASTCCATTAGAGGATGAGGGTGGTCACCTCACAAGCTGGGACAGGGACAAGGCAGAGRTGTTTAACACATTCTTTGCCTCTGTCTTCGGCATGGATGACAGACTAAGGGATTCTCAGTACCTGAGCTGAAGGATCATGATTGCAAGAATGGTCARCTCCCAGTTCAAACCCTGAAACTGCAGGATCTGCTGCTCCAGCTGAATTCCTACAGATCTATGACTTGATGGGGTTCATCCAGCAATCCTCAAAGAGTTAGTTGGTGTTGTTGCAAAAACTCTCTTGATGATTTTTGAGCAGTTCTGGGAATCAGGAGAGGTCCAGCTGACTGGAAGCTGGCAAACATTGTCCTGATTTTCAAAAAGGGCAAGAAGGAGGACCCTGGCAAATACAGGTCTGTCAGTCTCACTTCAGTGCCTGGTAAAGTTATAGAGAAGRTTATTCTGGGAGGTACTGAAAAACATCTGGAGGACAATGCAGTCATTAAGTCACAGCTGGCATGACTTCATGGGACAAAAGTCCTGCTTATCCAGACTGATTTCCTTTTATGACAAAGTAACCCACCTAGTTGATTAAGGGAAGCCAGYTGATGTAATCTATTTTGGATTTCAGTGAAKMTTTTGGTACTGTCTCYCACAGRATCCTTCTGGACAARATGWCCAGCCCTCAGCTGGATAAACACRTCATGGRATGGGCGAGCAGCTGGCTSAYGGGTCAGGCACAAAGGGTTTTAGWGAATGGAGTGACATCAGACTGGGGACCTGTCACCAGTGGGGYTCCACAGGGCTCCCTCTTAGGYCCTGTGCTCTTCAACATCTTCAYRAATGGRTGCAGAACTGGAAGGGATACAGAGCAGGTTCACARRCAATACAAAACCAGAAGGAGCTGTTGACTCCCTCAAAGGCAGGGAGGCCCTGCAGAGAGACCTCGACAACTTAGAGGGCTGGGCAATCACCAGACTTATGGAGTTCAACAAGGGAAAGTGCCAGATTCTGTACCTGGGATGGGACAACCCTGGATTTACAGACAGGCTGGGGAATGGGATGCTGGAAAGTGCCATGGATCCTGGTCACTGGCAAGTTGAACATGAGCCAGCAGTCAGGAGGGAGAACCCTGTCCTGGGGGGCATCAGGCACAGCATCACCAGCTGAGCAAGGGAGGGGATTGTCCTGCTCTGCTCTGACCTGGGGCAGCCTCACCTCSAGTGCTGGGGGCAGCTTTGGGTGCCACAGCATGAAGATACGTAGCCTTTAAAGAGCATCCAAAGGAAGAAAACAAAGATGGTGAAGGGCCTTGAGGGGAAGCTRTATGAGGATCAGCTGAGGTCACTTGGTCTGTTCAGCTTGGAGGAGACTGAGGGGAGACCTCATTGCAGTTACAATGAGGGGAAGAGGAGGAGCAGGCACTGATCTCTGTGGTGACGAGGGACAGGACTCGAGGGAATGGCCTGAAGTTGTGCCAGGGAGGTTTAGTTTGGATATTAGGAAAAGGTTCTTCAACTCAGAAGGTGATTGGGCACTGGAACAGCCTCCCCAGGAAAGTGGTCACAGCACCAGCCTGACAGAGTTCAAGAAGCAGCTGGACAATACTCTCGTCCATGTAGTTGTGAGCCTTGGGGGTGCTCCTGYGCAGGGCCAGGAGTTGGATTCAGTTATCCTTGTAGCTCCTTTTCAACTCAGCATAGTCTRTGATTCTGTGACTGCATATAACCTCAGCTGATGCAAGATAATMGCATAGCAAAAGACAGGGAGAGATAAAGAATGATGGAATGAAAGTGGGTCTTAGGTGTTGAGTAACCAGCCTAGTTTCGCTCATTCTCGTGAGCTGGGGGAGGTGGCAGCCTTTTTCATYGCAGTTTTTGGAAGTGCTGCAGAGGGATTGAGACTGCAGGAGAGCTGGCAGTAGTTTTGTGGTTATTTTTCCTTCCACTAAGTTGGAGAACTGTGTATGCTATTCTTTGTTTTTATGAAGTTAACTTACAATACAGAAATGTCAGTGCAGCTTAATTGGTTGCAGCTGAGACTCTGCAAACAGCAAGTGTCTCATCTAAACTTCTTACTGGAAGCATGAGTTTGATCAAATCACCTAATGTCATCTTTATTCAGTTAAAAGTGGAACTTAAGGGAAGTCTTTGTGCTAGAAAGGACCTTCAAATAGTTTATTCCTGTACTCAAGGCAGGAAATAGCTTTGCTGGTTCTTCTGACAGGTGCTTGTCTGACATGCTTTTAAGGTTCTTCAGTGTTACAGCCAACACAGCCTCCTTTGGGAGTGCATCCAGTCCTTCCCTGATTTAACTGCATCTGAATTGGATTTTAAAGGAAAATACTAAAATTGAATATATATTTTATATATACTTATATGTAAGTTTATGGCTATGGAAGTGAAGTAAAGCCAAGATGTTACATTGTTTGTCTAAATGTTTCTAAGAACAGGAAACAATTTCTTTGCTGCTACAATAAATCAGATTGCTTTATTCTTGGGAGTCACCTAAAACATGGAAGAGAACCATAAATCCTTTCATAYATTGTACTCTATTTACAGGAAAGATTAAAGCTGAAAGGGCTGTTCAGTTGGATGCTGGGAGTGCTGAGAGTCACCAGTGGTAAGTTCAAGGAAATTTTTACAAACTTCTGTGTATTTATCAAAACCAACAACAACAAAAAAAAAAAACCCAGTCTGACATCAGTTTCATAAATTGGTCATTAATATTTTTTCATAGTTTTATGGAACTCAGTTATCACCAGTTGCAGCTAAAAAATACATAGAAATATTCTGTGTAACATTTACTATAGAATATGAAATAACTCAATAACCATACTTCAGTATGTAYTGTGAAATTTAGATGGGAATATTTGCTTAAGCCACTATCTTATTGCTCAGAAAAGCCATAGCTTTCCATTTACCTKCCCTTCCAACAACTCAAAAAATAATGTCATTTGAGCTTGAATTTTGTCCTTTCATTTTCTTGTAATAATCTAAATTGTAATAATTAAAAATAGACATAGAAAATTATGGAACTTTGAATTAACTTCTTGATTTTTGTTTTATCAAATAGTTTTGCCCCAAGCTTGACACTTAGTTTAGTTTTGTAGACCTTGCCAGAGCTAACAAACTCTGCAAATGTAAATATTTTTTTAGCAAATCAACATTATCAGGTGAAAGATAATTCTGCTGAGTTCTAGAACTGAATATTAGTTCCTCACCTTTGTATTTTGTTACTAAATTTTACTGAGCTCCTTATTTCTTTTCTAGTATTATTAGCTTTTCCTTTCAATTTTCTGGTTTCTRCRTYCTTCATTAATTTTGTCATTGCACTKGTGGGATGGGTTTTYACTAAAMTTCTGCATATCTAAACCAAGTAGTTTTATCCCAGGCTCCTTTCACAATCTAAAAAGAAGCAGCCACTTGTGGAATTCAGTTCATTGGAGTCAATTTTGTCTATTTTGTCTTGCATGAGATGAGATAAATTCCTCCTGGGCTCAGCTGACAGCATCTCCATTGACAATGAAGGGAGCAGGTCAGCTAGCTCAGGTTTAGATACTTGATTAGACGTAGACATTGTCATTTAATTAAGTAATTATCTGTCTTGTTTTCTCTCTTTCTGAAAGCAATTTACAGCCATTTCTGCTCTTTGCTTGACCACAGTCATGGTCACTTCCTCAGCATAATGCTGGTGTAACCCCCTCAGCTAGAACTTTGTGTATAAACAGCCACAAAATCACATTCAAGTATGAATCCTGCTGTTCCCTTCCTCCTCAGCCCACAAAACTGACAAAATATTCTAGTATAAATACAGCTTCACTGGCAGAAACTGCTGATAAAACCTCACATATTGTTCAGGGAGATGTAGGTGGTCTGCAGGACTTGACATGTGAGATCCTGTACTGGCAGGCACATCTAGCAGGGGAAGAATTACGAGTGTAAGGAGATGTGTTCCAGAGGTTAGTTCAGAAAGATGGATTGAGAGGTTTAAGAGAAAAATCTTACATTTTTTAGGCTACTGCTTGTAACAGACAATGGATTTCTGTATGGTTTGCAGTTTTCATTCTTCTCATGTCTGGGTTGCAAGTGAACATGAGGTTTTTATCAGTTATTGTTTGACTGATATCTTTCTAGAGATGGACAYTATAGATAAAAATAGTTTGCTCTAATTTTTTATCTGAATATATTTTCTGGTTTTATTTTCTGAAATCTTTTTTACTTGATGCATTATTTTTGAAGTGTAGTATGAGTGTAAAGGTTATGCCAATCTGAGGCTCTAAATACTGGGCACAGTGGACTTCCTAATGCTCCAGAGGGACATTGGTATGTTTTTGTTTACTATGACAGCTGCTGTTCAATCTGTGATCCCAGTAGATACTTTTCTGCTGTTTTGCTATTTAACCAGTTGAGCTTTGTTCATTTCGTTTTATTCTATTTTGTTCTTTATAAAGTATTTTACACACATTTAATTGATTTCATGTTTATTTCAGACCATTTGTCAGACTTGAGGCTATTTAGGTTTGCAAATGCATTCCCAGATTACCATTATTTCAAAAGTGTTTTGTTGCTGTATGGSTTGCTTGAAATCATTGACTTCATTAATGAAATTACTGGAAGATAATGGACCCAGCACTAAGCTTTGGGTGACACCTATAGTGATGCTCAGGTTCGCGTGAACCTGGTTCTGCAACCATCTCTGCTTTATCTAAACAGTATTTCCATGGTTAGATTTTTGAGGAACATCGGGTAGGACAAAGTCAAAGGCCAGATAAAGTTCAAGGTGTATCTCATTTGTTACTTTCCTCTTATAGTTCAGGCTTTTTTATCTTGCCAGATATTTTTTTTATGCTCTTTGTTCACAAAAAAAGCTTGTGTTAACTGTTTTGTATGCTTATGCACTTTTTATCCTGGAATGTCTTCAGGTTAAGCTGGTTTGCCTATAACCCTCCTTCTCCTCCTTCTCCTCCTCCTCCTTCTCCTCCTTCTCCTTCTCTTCCTTCTTGATAGCAGCTATGCTTGCTTTTTTGCATGCTGTTGGGGCTTTCTGCATTACCTACGAGACTTTGGTAGTCAGCTCTGTATCAGATCTGGATTGTTTGAGTCTGGCCTAATGCAAATTTTTACAGTTTATATAAACATTATTTCACATGTTAATCCCCATGAATAGGAAATAAGACTTCAGTGAATCTTCCCTGTAAAAACTGTGCTCTTAAAGTTGTTTGAAAACAGAATTTTACCAAAGTTTATAAATAGATAGACTGTGTACGAACAGAAAACAGTACAATACAATTAAATCATAAATAAATAATATGTGAAAGCAAAATGAAATCCTTAGTTAATAAGAAAGTTAATAAGAGAGAAAATAACTGAAAAGAAAAAMRTAGAACTAATAYTTATASCAAAAAAAGCTAGGATCACTAGCARGTSATGGGCAGAGATGAAGGGCAGTACCCAGCTCCAGATGGACMCCTGAATGTTGTCTATTATATGTGCCTACATGTGAGCAAGGGCCTGGTCCTGCACTTATGGGGGATGGATCCACTTATGGGGGGGATGCTGAAAGGCAGCATGTGCCATTTGATGTGCCAGGATATTTACATGGCATGGCAGATATCACACAGGACCTTTGGGATCTCTACACTTCCAGGCCAGCCTCCAGAAGAGGTGGGAGACCCTAGGGCATCTCCGGTGGTCGTAGGCACCTGTGTCTAGGCAGGGATCCTGTGAACTGAACAGGTCTCTGCTGGCTGTAGTAGGAGATTAGATACCCAGATGAGAAGCTCAGCATGAATTTAGGCTCAGTGTGAAAGCAATGCTGTCTCAGACCAAAATCCTTCCTTTTCRTCTCACTGCCAACATAAAATTTTCTAAAGCTATACCGTATAAATAATCTTAGCCTATGTAAGATGAGCCCATCTATTTGTTATGTGTAAGGCTGTGTCAGTCTGTATCAGCTATTGATGAGCAATCTGGTTTTCTGACCTTGACTGAAGAAAWTTTTTGTTGATTTATTACTAATTTCTGAGAGGTTTTGGTATCTCCCATCAGCACAACTGAGGTTTTCACTCATGTTTGGCATAGCTGGTGTGTTGTCTGCTCATGCATTATTTCTAATGTTCTCTTAAACTGTTTAATATATTATGGCTTACTAAATGAGTGGGGATTAAATGATAGCCTATTCTTTTCCTGGTCCTGTACCTTGCTCTCTGCTTACACTTAACCCTTGTAGAGCAGGGGGGATGTAAGTGAAGAAGAATATTGAAKTTTACCTTGTTGGTTTCATCTTTTGCTATTATTTCCTTGTTGCTAATTGTTCTGCACTTTCATTTATGTTTTTTTTTCCTTCTGGTGTATTTATAGAACCTCTTATTGCCTTACCTATATCCCTAGCTTAGTTGTGTGCTCTTGTTTTCRTTTTTAAGGCCAATTTCTTTTGGGTTTTAAAGTTAATTGAGAATTACTCACTGGAGCTGAATTAATCTTTAAAACTATTCCTGATATGACTGAAGGGTCATTTGTGGCTGTGCTTTTGAATGTTGTCTCTTAATAAATCTACTATAGAAATTTTTCTAACATGACAATTCTTAATGATTTCATTTTCTTAAATTAGAAACATATATGTGTCTGTCAAGCAATGGTTAGGTCTATGGACCTATTTGGGAGTTTCCTTTGAAAACTTATCCGTACTGCTACAAAGCTCTATTTACTGAACAAACAAGTTTTTGTGACACCTTGACCCACGTAATTGTCCTAGTATAGACAAGGGGTTTTTTGTGTTTTGTGGAACTGCTATAAGGTGTCTGCAAGACAGAACACATTTTTTGTGTCCACTATGGAATTTAGTGGAATGGTTCCATGAGCAAACACTTGCTAATATAGGCCTCGAGTACAGCATCTTGCCTTACTTCTTGTATTTATTTCAGTTAAGCACAAAAACATGCCATGTATCTTCTTAGTAGATCACCTATATTTTTCTGTAAAATTATATCATAAAATATATCAACACTCCAACTGTTCAACTTTCTGATCAGAATACTAACAACTAACCAGTATTCGACCTCAAATTAAATTTGATAAAACATATGCAGAACAAAGAAAGCCAAATATTTTGAAGTAGTTGGTTTGGTAATGAATTGCAGCTGCAAATAATTTTCATATCTGAATCCAGATTTTTGGAAACATGTGATCATACTTAATTTCATACTTRCCAATGAGATCAAAAACGTTCAGACTTTTTGAATGTTGACCTCTAAATAACTGAAATAAATGGCAACACTGGAAAGGAAAAACATTGCTGTAACTTTTTATTATTTGTATGAACACCCTAAAGAAAGGCAGAAATAAATATTCAAAGTGATTTGTGGCTTTGTTCAGCCACTGTCAACTTTTCAAGTTGTGGAGAAACTTGCATGTACAAGCCATTGTAGGTACTCTTGTTTTTTCCAAGCCTCAAATTGATTTTGTGGGTCAGTGATTCCCAAATGCCAACTGTGAATCCTTGCAGCTCATCTTGGATCATGGAACATCTTTATCACCCACATTTTAATTAGAAGTGCTGTGTGAGCAATTTGGCACTATAGTTGTGTTACTTTATCACTTACAGTTACAAAAACCAAAATG